TCACCTCAAGGAACTGGGCACCTCTCCCACCCCACCCCAGCAGCAGGCACCAAGCCCACCCCACTGAAGGACCACACCTGGAGGGAGCCACAACAGTTGCTCCTTGGTGACACAGTAGCAGATACAGGGATAGAACTCAGGCTGGCATCTTCTAAGGTGCTCACCTTTAGGGCTGAAGTGCTTCCTTTTCATTAAAGTGTACTTCTAGGGCAAAACTAGGACTAAAGTTATGTGTGTATGTATGTATGTATGTATGTATGTATGTATGTATGTATGTGAGCTCTCCACCAGTAATTGGTAGGTGGTAAGCTCCCTGTCCCTAGAGATATTCAAGCTGAGGTGAAATGCCAGTCAGAGAAATCCCTGCCAAAGGCTGGGAGCTCTCTGGGTGAGAGGAATCCCACAAGCACTGGGATAAGGTGGAGAGAGGAGGAGCTTTACATCGGGTGTGCCTGGGAAATTTCAGCCATGTGAACTTTTGGAGCATAATTTTCTTATCTGAGCTGGATATGTTGGCACACAGCTGCTAGGAAGCGCAGAGGAGGCTGAGGCAAGAGCATCTTGTGTCCGAGGCCATCCAGCCTGAAGCACACAGAGTCTGTGCCACAGCCTCAGACCTTAGTCTGCAGCTGCTTGGCAGCTAGAGGAAAGAGGTTTGGATAGCTAAGAAAGCTCTTTCCAGACCCTCAACCAGCAAGAGGCACAGAACAAACTTCATTCACATTTAGGGCCTCTGGGCCTTGCAGGCCTGAGTTCTTTCTTCTTCTCCCGTGGTGGTGGGGGAGAGGAGCCAATGGACCAGAGTTCAGCAGCTGCACCTTCCAGCCCTGGCCAGGGGAAACCCCAACTACAGCGGTCACAGCCACAGTGACCAAGCGTTAAGAACAGGCACACAGCAGGGCTGTGAATGCAGGGGTAGGTGAGAATGCTGGGACCTGCACCCACGGATGAGTGGCACCCAAGGCTCAGGGCTGAGAAAGCACGTGGAGGCAGGAGACCTTGTGACCATACTCAGGTTTGTCCCTACCTGCAGACATCCCTGAGGAGCTTGCTTTATTCCACTGGTCTTGGTTTATCAACCTATGAAGTGGGTCCACTAATAAGAATCCTTCTGTACTCTTTTAAGAATCCAACTCCATCAGGCACAGAAAGTAATTTTAATGGTACAAATTGGCATTGAAACGTGAAGTTGCCTCACCAGTTGAGGATACCCCAGATTCTAAGTGGGATTTGTTGGAGGAGGAGGCCGGCAAGAATAAGAGATCATGCTGGGGTGTGTTTGCAGCTCTGGCTGTGGCGAGATAGGGTTAACTTAGCCCTGATTCCTGTTTTCAGCACTCACAGTCGGCTTGGAGCACAGACACCTCCAAGCTAACAAATCTGATTCTGTACCCCACACCTGATGCTGCATTCCATCTCTCCTGTCAGGCCTGGTGCCCACTTCTCTACCACCACTGGCTTGGCTGTTGGTTTCTTGGGCAGAAGGTCCACACAGAAGGCATTGACCTTCTGTGCTCTTTGCTGTGGTCCTAGGGGTAATACACAGCGAATGCTCTGACAGAGCCATGAGCAGGGATCAAACACATGAGCAACCTCTTCCGATGTCTGAAACAGGACAAGAGCACGTGATTCACTCTGTGTACCTTGTAGGAGTAAGCTGAGGAGGAGGGGATGGAATGCATTCTCCCAGGGCCTGGAGCTTCTTGAACCTGGGGCTTTTGTGAGGATAACAGAAGGCTGTGAAAGCTAGCTGGGTGCATGCTAATCAAACTGTCTGAGCCCTCTGCATGTTCTGACCTGTCACCTCTGGCTCCCCAAGGGCCCCCCACCCCCAGGCGTGCTGAGCTGTCCACCAAGCCTGGGCATGGTGGCACACGCCTGTAATCCCAGCACTGGGGAGGCTGAAAACAGGAGGATCACTATGAGTCTGAGCTACATAGTCAGACTCTACCAAATACATTTTAAAAAAAGAAAGAAAGCAAGATTTCTTCAGTAACACAGCAGTCAGGAGTACCCAAGGATTGCAGGAGGTCTCTGTTCCCTGCTCCCTGCTTGTGGAATCCGTGGCTGCCTCTCAGCCGCCCTGCCAAGTGCTACAGCTCTAACCCCAACCCTGGCCAAGCATTAGAGTCGCTCCCACCCCTGCCAGGCCCTACCCTGGGGAGCTCCGCTGCCATTCTAGAGTGTGGCCAGGCTCCAGAGGCTGGGTCTCCAGCCCTTGGACCATTTCTGGGATTCTCCCCAGTGCTGTGAGTCTGGGGAGAGGGCCTGGAGCATGAGACCGATTGCTTCTCCAGTTGTACAATTGGGTAGGGCAGCCACGTGAGGCTCACATGTCCCCTGGGGGTCACTGCCAGATGGACTGTGGCAGGCAGGGGCACCTGGGCTTGGCAGGAGGTGGGGGAGCAGGAGGTGGGCAGGGCTCCATGTGGGGTGGGGCCGGGAAGGCGATGAGGCCCTTGCAGTTGGCAGCCTGGAAACCTGCCTGGTGCTGGAGTGTGGCCACACCAGCTAAGCCATAGCCTGTGAGGGTAGGGACTCCAAAGAACTCCTGTGTAGGACAGCACTGTCCTTGCTGGGAAAACGAGAGCCTGTCACTTAGCCTCACTTTGTTCTTACTATACCCCTTCAAGTAGATAAGGGTACCTTCCATTTCATGGATGAAGGGAATGAGACCCAGTCGTGTGGGGTTATACAACTGTCACCCCAGCATTTTGTGAGGCTGAAGCAGCAGGATCCCACATTCGAGACCAGCCTGGGTAATTCAGTAAGACTGTCAAAAAACAAAAATAAAAAGGGCTGGGGATACAGCTCAGTGTGAAGGCCCTGGGTTCAACCTTCAGTACTGCAGTACCGCAGTACCGCAGGTCCAGAGGGAGAAAAGGAGGGAAACAGAAGGAGGGGAGGGAGGCAGGCAGGCAGGGAGGGAGGAGGGGAGTGTCTGAGGCCCAGAAGGCGAGCTGATTCCTCAGGCACATAGCTTGTCAGTGGTGTCAGGGATATAGGGCCCCCTACACCCAATGTAGGCTCCATTTCAGTGGCCCTGGCCCAATAAATATTTAATCAATTACATCATTTAGTGAGATCCTAGGTCCTTGCCTGGACCCTCCTGGCAATCATTGCATTCTTGGGACCCATCTCTTCAAACACAGCATGGCCGGGCACAGCAGGCCTGGCACAGCTGAGGAGAGGGAAGGTCCTCACCCAGGATGAGAGTTGGGGTTTGTATCTGATCCTCAGCCAAGCTGCACACTGCACATTTGTCATGGCCCATAAAACCATGCTGCTCTTTAAAAAGAAAGGAAGAAAACTTGTCCCGATTAGTTCTCCAGGGAGGACCCGACTCTCCTACCCTGCATTGTGCTGACTCTGCACAACACAGAGAAAGATTCCTTCTTATTGTTCTAAATTTACTGTCCAGTAATTTTTCTGTTCTCATTTTATGCGATGGGCAGCTGAGCGATTTTCTCCCGGCCTCTTTTATGAATCTAAACCAACCCATAAATTGCTGCTGACATCTCCTCTCCAGCCCTAAAGGAAAAAAAAATCTTCCCAGCTTTTCAGCCTTGGCTGGGGGTGGGGCTTTGGCTCTGAGGCTCAGGGCCTGTCCTGGGTCACCTGGGACAGAGGCCGGCAGACTGGGGGCTGGGCTCTGTGTTGGTGGGGAGCAGGTAGCAGAAATAAAGGCCATGTGGCCACCCTGCAAAAAGGCTCCCAGCCTGGATGGTGGAGAGCTGGGTCCTGAGGAGGGAATTTACAGAGTGCTTTGGGGTGCTGAGCCCTGAACACAGCTCCGGGTGCCGCAGGGAGCTGGGATGGGAGCCTGGAGAGGGGCCTGGAGGAGGAGCCAGTTCATGTCAGGCAGGATGGGGAATAGAGGGGTGCACACACAGCAGGAGGGATGGTGCAGGGGAAAGGTGTGGGCCTGGGGGCCTGGGCTGGATGAGGGCTTTGGACCTTAATGTGGGCGGCTGGGTCAGCAGTGGTTTCTGAGCAGGGACTGTGGGGATGTTGACAAAGAGACCTTCTGGCCAGGAAGGGAATCACTGCCAAGCAGTCTGGGGCCACCTGCCCCCACCCCATGTCTCTGGTGCTGTCAGGGGGTCTGCCAGTTGTTAGGTTTAAAGGGTAAGCACTGGCTCAGAGTGCACACCGAAATGTTGCTAACTTTCACCCTGCTTACACAGAAGAGGCAACCTGAGGGTCAGTGATTCAGCCCAAGTCACCACACTAGTAAGGATGTCCCAGCCCTCATGCTACCTTCCCAACCCTCTACCTCTCCTGTAGCCACCTGAGGGCCATTCTTTCTGGGGTTTGGGCAGTGTAGCCACAGCTGGGGCCTTGGTCCCTGGGGCTTTTATGGGGAAGGACATGGTGCCCACTGTGGCCCCTGTCTGGGTGGAACTGCTGCGCAGTGACCCAGAAGTAGTCCAGTCCAGACCCACTCTGCAGCTCCTCACCTGTGGTGATCTTTCAAACAAAAGCACTAAGTCTCACTTAGCTAGCGTGTGTACTGTCCCTGCTCTCTTGTTCTTTGTATTCTGAGAGCCAAGGCCAACCAAATGTCAGCAGAGCAGTGGCAGGGAGAATCCAGGCCCACAGGGGAGGCAGTCACCCCTGCCTGGGTGGAGAGTACTCGGCAGTGAGGCGACAGGCGCTAGGTGGGGCTGGCTGAGCCCAGCTCTCGGGGTCCTGCTCTCTGCTGTGTGTAGTGCTCTGGGGTCCTTCACAGCTGGGCTCTCATGCCCCCCAAACAGAACCCTTCACCTTCCTACCTAGCACCCCCACCCCTGTCCCCATCTCTGCGAACCTGCCAGGTGTCATGTCCACCACTGGACAGGCCAGGTTTTGGCTCGTGCTGGCCAAGTTGGATGTGTGAGGGAGGCTGCATGAGGGTGAGGCATGGAAACTGGATCTGGTGTCCTTGTCAGATTCTGGGGTAGTGAGGATGTGTTCTTGCCACCCTGGGCCTGGCTGACTGGCTTCATATCTTGGGACAGAGGCACAGAGCTTCGGCCTGCTGGACCCCAAACTCTGCTACCTGCTGGATGGAATCCTCTTCATCTATGGCGTCATCATTACAGCCCTGTTCCTGAGAGCAAAGGTGGGCACCTGGTTCCATGCCAAGCTGTGGGATTCTTTGCTTGGTGAATGTTCAAATGCACAGCAATTGTGATTCTGCAGAGTCTCAGACCTGCTGGTATCTGGGGCTTGATGTTGGGGCATGGCTGAGAGCAGCTGTGTGTGTGTGTGTGTGTGTTGTGTGTGCTTGTGGACCCCAGGTGGGCTGAGGAAGTGGGGCATTTCCCTGGGCTGGGTACGGGGAGGGGAGACCCAGGGCTGGGTACCCTGCTGAGGACCTGAGCCCATGCAGGGACATCAGCGTCCCATGGCAGGGGCTGCTGCTCAGGCAGTTACAGGGAGGGAGGTGGGGACCTTGTGGTCCCTCTCCACATCCTGCCATCCACCTGCTAATCATGGCTACATCAGCCTTTCTTCTGACACCTCAGTTTTCCTGCTGTCATGGGAAGGTTGGCCAGGGTGCTGGTTCACATGAGATGTCCAGGGGCCTGGATTTCTCAGGCGGGGATAGAAGGTGGAAGGCAAGTCATCCCTGCAGCACACACTGGAGCATTTCCCCTTTGGATTTTGGTCTCCACCATGAGATTTGATTGGAAAAATAGTCTCTCTCTCTCTCTCTCTCTCTCTCTCTCTCTCTCTCTCTCTCTCTCTTTTAACTTGGAAACACAGTGGAGGCTGATCTCTAAGGTCATTACCCATGTTCTTAGTTCCTCTTGGCCGCGACAGCAGGCATTGGGAAAGAGTGAGGTGCTAGCACCACATGTCCCAGCTTGGCTGCTGGGACCTTGTGGATGACCAGGGCACAGGTAGGAGCACAAAGGCCATGTCTATAATCTCACTACTCTAGGAGGCTGAGGCAGGAGAATTGCAAGTTTGAGCCCTGCTCTGGAAAAAGCAATTTATTATGACCTTGTCTCAAAATAAAATATTTTTTAAAAGGACTGGAGATGTAACTCATTGCCAAGGCTATGGGTTCAGCTAGGGTTCCCTAATACTGGGGAAAAAAGGGGAAAAGGGGCTCCCTGGCTGTTTGGCCCTGCACAGCCAGTGCAGAGGCGGTATGCGCGCTGACGTCATGGGGCTCTGCAGCCCTGCCGGGAGCAGTCACACACACTCTCCTGTGTTGCAGTTCGGCAGGAGCATGGAGGGGCCAGTCCACCAGCAGGGCCAGAACCAGCTCTACAATGTAAGTCTGCATCCCCACACTTACCCTTTGCCAGTGCCAGCCATGGCCAACCCTATGGGATCAGCTGTTCAACCTATTTTCTAGCTGGGATGGTGGCAGTGCCTACCCTCTGAGCAGGAGGCCCTGCTGTCCTGGCTGGATGCATGCGTTGGGGGGAAGGAGTGCTTTAGGTTCTTCGTAGCAGCGAAGGAAGCAGTTCCACTACCCGGCCCTTTGCCTACCTTCTGAGCCTTGGTTTCTTTTTGTGCTTGTGGGAAAGTCATTACTTACCCATTTGATTGCTCAGCATACGGTAAGAAAAGTACTAGGGCCAGCCAAATAGCTCAGTGGATTAAAGCACCTGCAAGCAAGTACAAGGGCTGGGGGTCCGATCTCTGGGCCTGCCATACCAGCCCTGCCCCTGGGGGGCACTGAGACAGCAATTGAGACTGGGTGTGGTGGCATGCACCTGTAATCCCAGCTCTTGGGAGGCTGTAAACAGGCGGATCACTATGAGTCCGAGCTAGTAGTGAGACCCTGAACACTCTGAAGACCCTTCCCTAAGATAAAAAAAAAAAAAAAAGAAAAGTACTGACCGCCTTTGGGGGGGTCCTACTCCCTGTCACAGCACCCTCTGTTCTCTGACAGGGTCTCTGAGCCCAGAGATGGTATCCATCCCTGCCCCCCTTCCATGAGCCACCACCAGGAGGAAACCAGAAGGGCTCAGCTGGCCCCATGCTCCTGAGGTACCTCCTTCTGTGTCTGACTCCCTCCTCTTGTTGCAGGAGCTCAATTTAGGACGAAGAGAGGAGTATGACGTTTTGGATAAGCGGAGGGGCCGGGACCCCGAGATGGGTGGGAAGCAGGTAGGAGACCTCACATGTGGGGTTGAGGGGCTGGAGGACTTGCTGTGGCCACCTTCCCCTCCCTTCTCCTGGGCCCTGTCCTGCGCAGCCCTGGCCTGGTGTCATGTACTTCCCCAGATGGCTCCTTGTCTGTCCTGAGATGAGCATGGTGGCACCACCTGTCCTGGGAGGACAGACCTGATGATGGGGGCCACACAGGCAGGGGCTTAGGACCCTGGGCACAGAACACTGGGCCTGGGCATCCCACTCACTCCAGTGCTAGGACTGGGCTCAAGGTGGCACTGACCTTGGACTTTATAATCGCCACACCCTGCAGAGATGTAGCAGGTAAAAGAGCCTTTGGAGGATGGCAAGTTTGAGTCCAGCCTGGGTGTCTCAAACAAAAATTTAAAAGGCTGGGAACAAAGGTGGAGGCCCTGGGTTTAACCCCTAGTACCAGGGTGGGGTCAAGGCAAGCAGAGCTAAGGACAAGGCTGAGACTTCCACAGGTTGCCTGCCCATTGGCCCATCTGGCCCTCATCTAGACCCTCTAGGCAGCCGTGAGCCAAGCGTGTGCTGTTAGCAGGAGTGGGGAGTGGGAAGACGCTGACCACCCCTTCCCAGCCTCCTGCCCCTCCCTATGCACTCACTCCTCCGGTCTGCAAGGCAGGTGAGGTAGGCAGGGAGCACACCCTCCATACTTCTCAGCAGAACCATGTGCCTCATGTCCACAATGGGGCTCCATAGCACCTGTCCTCTTGGCAGGGCAAGGCCTGGGACACCCTGCCAGAAGTGGGGACAATGGCCTCCTGGTACCTGAGTCAGGCACCAGATGCCTGGACTCACCCCTCTAACCAATGGAACTCCTGGTGCCTGGACTCACCCCTCTAACCACTCCTTGCTGTCTCTCCTAGCCGAGGAGGAAGAACCCTCAGGATGGCGTGTACAACGTGAGTGCGGGATTATTCACCCTTGACTTCGTTCACTTGGGGGGTGCACAGCAGGGTCATCTGCTTTCTCCATACTTCATTCTCACCCTGTCTAGGCTGTTGCTTTGCTGGGTCAGGCGGGTTACCTTCTGGCTTGCAGCCTGCTGCACAGAGGCTTGTAGGAAGGCATCTCAGCTGAGCAACATAAATGTCCAGGGTTGTTTCTGGTCCCACCCCTCCCCTTTCTGCTTTTTGGCCTGGGGGCATGGCTTTCCACTGCAGGCTGAGCTGGGTGAGAAGGAGGGTGCTTCCTGTTATGCATGCACCCTGCCACCTGGGTGTGCACCGGACACTAGTGCTCTCCCTCCCCATCCTCCTGTGATTGGCTGATTCGTATCTCATGGTGTCAGTGGAGACAACTTGCTCAAATAGATGATCTTGGGAACTCCAGGCCAGCCCTTGTGTTGCCCAGTGTACCTACTGTGGTCTCCAACACCACCTCATATTTGTACAGCTTCACTGAGCTTGTCTGCTCAATGCGAAGGAGAACTGAGGTTGAAGCAGGTGGTGGGGCTGGTTGCAAGCAGAAGCGCTATGGGTTATAGAAGATGGACCCTCACTTGTGGACACCCCAGCCAACTTGGGAGCAGAACACCTTCTTCTTGTGGGAGAGCATACTCTTTTTTGCATTAGTCAGTAAAATCAGCAACTTGTACCTTCTCCAGGCGCTGCAGAAAGACAAGATGGCTGAGGCCTACAGTGAAATTGGGATGAAGGGCGAGGTGAGTGGCCTTCCTTCCTCATGCCCACTGAGTCCTTCCTGGCCTTTTCCCCAAATCTCCTCCAGACAACCTGCAGAAGCTCCCTTGTAGTGACCCCCTGGTGATGTCAGCTCTTATCCAGCTTGACAGAAGGAAGGACTGAAAAGCAAATCTAGATTCTGTGATAGCCTCAGGTTTGTGGAAGTGAGTCAGGTCTGGCACTGGCAATGCCTGGAAGTGCTGAGGGCTTTACATGTGCTACCCCCCCCAATCAGGGGCAGAATAAAAATAAAGGGCCCCTTGTTCCTGTTTGAGGAGGAGTGTTAGGATGGTGAGATGTAAGCATGGAGCCCTGGCAGGGGCCTAGGGTGGCTGCGTAGGTTGTGTGACTGTGATGCCTGTGTGGTTTGTGTCCTGCCCAGATGGGTCTCTATTCATTCTTACTGTAACTCAGTGCACAATGTGTGCCCTGCGAAGAACAGGGGGATTAAATAACTGACCTAGGTCACATAGCTAGGAAATGCAGGAGCAGGAGTCGAATCGCCTGCAGCCCAGCTTAAAACAACAGTCGCTGTTCCCAGAAAGTGCCCATGACTGCACAAGCATTTCAGGAGCTGCAGAGAGGCCTGTCTAGTTTAAGCAGCTGATGACATGGCCACGTGTTACTAGGATTCTAGGAGGATCTTGAGCCAGGTCTCCCCTTAGCACGCAGAGGTGGAAGAGGCTTGACCAGGGGTCTAAGGACCCTTCTGTCCCAGTGATACAGGGAGAAACACTGATCTTGGGTGGGTGACCTCCAAATGAAATAAGGACCCTCCAAATGACAAAGGGAAAAATGATCTCTGGACCTGACCTGCACGAGTTTGTGTTCTCTAAAACGGAAGAATGAATTTTAGGAACAAACGGAGGTTATGAGCAGAATATATTTATTGAGGGAAAGAAAGCTCCTATCCAAGAGAGGGACAGGTGGGGGGCCCCGAGTGGGTTGTCCCTGGGAAGCTGTCTCTTCCAGGGATTTTTATAGAGTAAAACCATGTGGTGAGGTGGGTCTAAGGTGGTAGAGACCATGGGAACTCACTTAGGTGGGCATGAGGTGGGACAAAACTATGGTCAACCAATGAGATTACAAGCACCATTGCTCAGGTAAAATTGATTAAATCCAGTATCAAATGGTGAATTGTGTCAAATAGCAAGCAGGCATGAATATAGACAGGGTCTCTTCCTGTTGGGGGTTGGGTTAGTGACTCATTTGGGCTCTTTCAAGGTGATTGATTCCTATTTAGGATAGTAATCCCTAATGCCCATCCCTGGGGAAGTATGCAGCTGTGTTTCCTCTTTTTGTCTTGGTCTTGAGGTGTGGTCCATATGGGAGTGTCTGTCTCTTCCAAGTTGCAAGGTCACCTTGTCTTCCATCTTGTCTCCTTGAGGGCCTGACCCTGTTTAACTGCCTATAATATTTCTATGTAATTTGGCTGCCTGCAACACCAGGGCTGGGTGGTAGCTGGGAGACAGGCACCTGACTTCCCAGGGACCCCTTGAGTGCGGCTCTTGAGCAAACATGCCACTACTGATTGCCTTACTTTCTAATCCTTCTCATTTTGCAGCGGCGGAGAGCTAAGGGGAATGATGGTCTTTACCAGGTAAGAGTTGGGCCTTCCTTCCTGAGTGACACTCTCTGACAGGGGATGAGACTGAGGCTCCCTTACCAGCTCCTGGGCAGGGTAAGGCCAGCATCATGCCGGCCAGTGGCACCTCCACTGCCAGGAAGTCCCAAGGGTAGATGGGATTCAGCCTTTGAGCAGATCACTTGACTCTAACCAGGAGGCCACAGGAATCCCATGGAGTTTTTGGCCACAGTAGACAGAAGCAGCAGTGAAGTACAGCCCTCCAAAGGTACAGACAGAGTAGGCCAAGGGCTCTCCACAAGTGACTCCCTGTCTTGCATGTGGCTCTTGCAAAAGTCTTGAATCCTTGGACCTAAGATCTGGGAGGATTTACAGGAAGGTGGAAGAAACAGAAATTAAGCAAAATAATATTGTAATCAGATGCCTGGTTTATGCAAATTAGTACAAATGATTATGCAAACTAAGTGTAGTCTACTTTTCTAGAACAGGATCCACAATGGATTCATGTCTCTCCTTTTGGTTCCTTGGTTCTGGGCTTGAGTTGTCAAACTGAGAGTACAGAGTGAACATCAAAAGGGCCCCAGAACCCATCTGTTGGAAATTGGTGTGGCCTGTGCCTTCCCAGACTCTGGACCAACCTTACCTTCTGCTCCCTGACAAAGGACAAGCCATGGTGGCCAGGCCTGGGAGGGAGGGCTGAGGTCCAGGAGCTTCACTCTCCCTGTGTCAAGTCCAGGCCTCTCATGGGTACAGGACTATGGCAAGCAAATTCTCAGGAGCACACCTGGTCCTCTCCCAGGACTCCAGCTCTGGATCTGAGCATGGGAAGCTTCTTTCTCTTTGGCCTGATGGGATGATGTCTGGGGCCAGTTGCTATGGGTCCTAGCACCTGGGGAACTGGGAGAGGATTTAGCTGGAAAGGAGATGCTACAAACTGGAGCAGGGGTCCTCCTGGAGCCTAGGCTCTTGACCACTCTTCTTTTCCAATCTCCTTCCACCAGGGCCTCAGCACAGCCACCAAGGACACCTATGATGCCCTGCACATGCAGACTCTTCCCCCTCGCTAGCAGCCGATGGACTCTGCCTCTCTCGGGCCTGATTTCCTGATACCCACATGGTGAAGGACATAGGATTAAGCATTCACAGCCAAAAGAATGTTCCTGTATGAGTAGGGTACCTCAAGTTGTAAATTGGGTGTTCTTCAATCCCAAACTAGCCCACACAGAATGCCAGCCCTGGACTCCCTCAGGGTGCCCCCGCCGCCCCAGTGTGGCAGGCCTGTCCTGGGGTTTTCTGGCTTGCTGGCGACTATAGACAGGCCCCTTTCCCTGAGGCTCTAGGCCCTGGCTGAGGGGCAGCAGCACTCCCTCTCCCAGCTCAGTTGTTACATCTGTGTTTCTTGAAGTCCCCGGGAAGTCCCCAATGTTAACACATGTCCTGTTTATATCTGTCAAACTTTTTTTTTTTTTTTTCCTGTCCAAATTTGACTGGCTTTGCTCCTGCTGTACATGTAGCTTCTGTGGTCAACCTTCCTTCATTTCAAGGTAGTCTGTCATAGCACCATGTGGCGACAGGCTGAAGGCAGCCTGGGCAGCAGCCCACTGTCTGCTGAGGTGAATGGCAGGCATGGGGAGAGTTGTGAGGCGGAGGCCCCTTCTATCAGGTGTGCTTGTCACACCAGTCAGGATGCCAGGTGCTTCAGGGACTGAGATGGACAAGAAAGCTGCCCTTCATGGGGCTCACACTGAGGGGGAAAGAGCTGGCAAGACAGCCCAGAAGCCACAAGAAACCTTATCATGGAGGATGAGCAAGAGAAGGCACAAGCTTGGCCTTCTCCCAAGCCTGCCCTCACCCATGCATGGCCTGAATGGTGAGCTGTCCTCGCAGAGGTCTTGAAGATGACTCAACACATGTAGCCTCCTGACCATCCATCCCTGAGGGCCAGGGTGCCATGGGAGAAAGCTATGGCTCCGGAACACTTTCTGTGTGATTAAAAGGCGCATGTCCATGGCTGGAAATCCCTTTCCACTCAGCTGGTTGTAATTTATACTGGTTTGCTTGAGCCTATTTTGCATAATAAATGCTTCAGTGAAAATGCTGCTTACTCTAAGCCTTATTCCTGCAGTCATCAAGAAACCGGCATGTGAGAAAAGGGTGGGCACAGGGCACCCAGCGCCGCGGGTGTGGCTGTCAGGGAAGCGTCTTGGGCAGCAGACTGGTAGCTGTGCCTTGGGAGTGAGGGCAGTGCCCAGGGCAATGGGATGGCAGAGCCCAGAGGATGACAGGAAAAGGCACCTGGCTGTCGGAATGCAGGGGGACTCAGGAGAGGGCCAGGAGGAGCTCTGCAGCGAGCAGGACCATGGCCTGTGGCAAACAGCAGCTGACACGAAAGTGCCCATCTCAGTCCGTAGCACGCGGGGGCCAGCAGCAGCAGACAGCAGGCCCTGCAGGTCGGCTTCCTTCACTAAGCAGCCCTGCCCAACAGAATTTCCTTGACCTGGAGTGGCTCCGACACACGCCCACCAATTTGTATCACACAAAGACTGAAATCTGAACCTGGACTTTCTCAAAGAAGTCCAAGACTTTCTACAACAACCCTTGAACATCCGGGGTTTAACAGCTATGTGTGTCCCTGGCAGGCACATATTTAAACACAAGGCCCTGGATTTGTAAGCCAGCTTTGTAGAATTCTACTCAGTGGGCCTGTGTAGCTGAAATCCACTTTGGTTAGTCTAAGTGGTGAGCCTTCTCCTTGGGGCTTGTACAGGCTATGTAATCTGTATGGCCCGTTTGAAAATATATTTGGCCCAATTCTGTCAGTGTCTTAGGGGAAAGTGGGGAGAGCTGGCAGTGAGCTATGGGAGCTGGAACTACCCAAGTTGGAGGACCCTGCAGGCTACCAAAGAGTAACAAGAGAGAGGACGCCAGTGTTCAGGGGAAACAGGTCTAGGTCCACAGTGACAGTGGCTACCTCTGGAAGGGTCCAGATTTCTGCCCTACCTGAGGTCTTGCAGTGCCATCTCCACAACACAGCTATATTCCCTTCCTCCCAAGACATGAGTATAAGGTAAGTACCAACAATTTATTCCCGGGGGGAAAAAACCCCCACTATGTTAAAAACAAACATCTATTGTTAGGCATATGAGATCTGATAGAAAATACAATGAATGTTTAAATGAAAAAATAAATTACAGTGAAAAGCAAATTGCCATTTATCCCTCTGCAGTACTCTGCAGTCTGTGAAGACATTTGTCCTGTTCTTGCCACTTCCTGAAGCAGTTTTCAAGTGTCCTTCTGAGTCGTTAGTTGCACTGTTGTGGCTGCCTCACTGTCTTGAACCTATTCAAAACATTTTGAATGAAAGTCATTGATTGACTTTTCATGGTCATTTTGACTTTGGGGATAGAGCGAGAAGTCATGTGGTCCCAGAGCTGGTGAATAAGGTGGATGAGAATACACTATGATATTTCTATGAACCTCCTTTCTGCTGGATGTCTTTGGCAACATCATTCACTGTATTTTTGATCAAACCTGATGAAAGAAAATTTATAGAACTGCTTCAGAAAGTAGCAGGAATGTTGGGATAAGTGTTTGAAATGAGGGAGAGAATTCAGAGAATTAATGGCAATGTCTTACTCTAACAAATCTTTTTAAACATTCACTTTACATTGTCCTGGTCCATCTGTTAAAATCAATGTAAAGAGATGTGCCTTAAAATCATTATCTAATTTTTTTCTTTTGTACTGGGGATGGAACTTAGGAGACCTTGTGCTTGCCAGGCAGGTATTTATGCAGCTATCTCCCCAGCCCATGCCTTAAAATCAATAAAACACAATTATACTTGAATTGAGGGGCCATGTTATTATATATCTAAATGAAGATGCAGATGTGTAGTATCAGTTTTTTTTTAGAGCAAATTTAGGGTTTTTCATGGAAGAAACTTGATGCTCTTGGCTAACAGAACAATATTCAGACACACCAACAGCTTTCACCCTGGCCTATGGAATAAGCTTATGTGCTGGGAGAGCAAAGGGCAGACCGGCACTCCACTTCTGTGCATTCCCTAGGAAACTGGGCTCCTGTGATGCAGCCTCCTGACCAACAAGGACTGCTAGGTCAAAGTCTAGTGAGCAGTTTATCTGCATTACTTAGGGTGTGACATGGTTACATTAAAAAAAAAAAAAAAAAGAAAAAAAGAAATGGAAAAGTTCTTTGATGTAGGAGCAGGGCACATGACCAAGTATTTGTCTTCTCATTTTTGTTGCGCTACAAGACCGCAGCTTCCACGTGACAGCAGAGCTCTGAATTCAAGAACAAACATCAGTCACATTGGTCAGCACAGGACAGGCAGGGGCACTTCCATAAGCTCTCTCCAACAAGCTCAAGTTTTCTGAGATGCTTGTTTTCAGATTCAAATTTGCCTTCCTATGAAATGGATTGTATGAGGACCCCACACAGAAGCTACCGAAGCCAATCAGTATAGCCTCCCACAGGAGAACCAGAGGGCGGTGAGACCAGCTTCCTGAGAGGACCTGGCATCAGACAGTGAACTGGGAAGGGAGCTCAGCCCTTGGAGGCATGCAGCCACAGGGGGCTCTGAAGAATTTCCTTGCTGGATCAATCACATAAAACCTCCAGCCTGAAGGAGGCTGAGACTGAACTCAGTTCCCAGTGCACCCTGCCGATGGAAAGCTGAAGAGCAAGGCAAGACTTGGGCTTGCAGTGGGCCAGGGTTCCCAGTGACTGTGCCAGGAAAGGGAATGGGGAGGCCTCTATCTGCGAGGTGTGTGAGACATCCAGAATAAAACCACAGTGACTTCAGAGAAACTCCAACAATGTGAAAACACTTGGAAAAATGGTTTAATGATGTTTTACAACAGAAATGAACTGTACAGTTACAGTAAGTTTAATATATATATATAAAAATTACAGCAGACAAATGCATCTACACAAAGTCTACCATTTCATTCAGATTCACTGGCACCTACAATCTCTCCCAGCCTACAGCCCCTGTAGGCAGCCCCAGGAGGGGAATCATAAAGGGCACTTTAAAAATGACAGCACCGCTCATAGTCCCCACACCTCCTTAGGTTCTAGGAGGTGTCAGCTAATTCCCTACCTTGTAAAGTCGCCCATGTTTCAGGTTTGCAACACCAAGAAAATGTGTGTGTTTCCAAAGGGGCGCAGATAACAAGGTCCAGTGTTCCCAGTTATCAGTTGATACAAAACATTCCTAGCAGGGAAATGGCTAAACAGGTGCTCTGGGGCAGTGAGGCTACACAATAGCCACCCAGACTGCAAAGTCACCTAGGAGAAATGTAAAAGGACTCCCAATAAACTATGGAAATTGTCACTGCCTCCCATTAAAGCTGCTGGACAATTTTGGAAAGAATCATTTACACCACATCATAAATTTCCACAAAGAAGAACTCAAGCTCACATTTTAAAGTACATAATATAAAACAAAAAGTTTTGGGAGGCCAAGGGGCTAATTCCCCTTGTGTCCCTCCCTTGACAACAGTGGAAAAACACCCCTGAATCAATATTTAAAACACAAGGGAGAAAAGAAATGGCGGGGGAATTAAGGTATTTAAAGACAGAAAACATCTTTAGAAAAACACGATCACTGTCTCTTTAAAACAAAACAAAACACCAGTTGGGCACAGTAATCAGTGACTATGCAATCCAATTGACACCTGGTAGAGGATTATTATTCAATATTATGTACACTCAGAACTTTTTCATTTTCTTTTTTATTATGAACACCTAGGCAGTGAAAACTGTTATGTTAATACATATAGACACACCCAAAACATACAAAAATACTATTATTTCAAACTACTAAGAATAAGACAGCTCAATTATTTTCATGCTATGACTTTAAGAGCATTACACTGAAACAAACAAGAAGTTAAAGGACATTTTTTTTTTAATATCCCAGAAATATACCAAAATATACATCTAAGCTTTGGAATTACTGAGGTTAGACTAATGCAAGTGCTGGGTAATCGTACTTAATACACAAGTCTAAGGTTCTGCAGGAAAGAAATTATCTTTGGTATCTGCATCAGGCTAATATTATTAACATTTGGATTTTGCTTTGGGATAGAGCTTGTATGACCCTAGAACCAAATACCCCCCTCCCCCAATCAACTGAGATTAAAAAGATCCGTGTAAAAAGTTTCTTCATTTGCAATCCCCCCGCCCCCCAAGTTAAAAAGTCACAGGCATCTACCTAGCACAAAAGGTTGTGAAATACAATGCATAGTTGCACAGTGGTGCTGCAAAAAGGAAAAACTAAAGAGAAATGAAAAGTTTGATAATCATTCTGCATGTTTTCTCAAGAACAGGACAGCCACTTCCAAGCAGTTCCAGTAAAGGAAAAGAGAAAAAGGCTCAGAAGGACCCCTCCACTCCACCACCCCACCCGAGGTGAAAGCACCCAGCAGAGCAGCCAATCCCGCGCCAGTGTCTCCAACGCCCCCTTCTGTGGAGTCCTCAGTCAAGCTGGGCCTGCAGCAGCTGGGTGCTCTAGTCCCTGCACCCAATCCTCTGTGACCCTGGTTTCTGGTGGTGATTTTGGCTTTTGTTTTGAGAAGTCTGACATGCCAATTAGTTTCGTGGCGTGGCCACAAGCTGCCAGGACTAGGCTCATGCACCCAGCTGCCAGAGGTTGCCTGCCTGCCCGTGACCTCCCTCTTCTAAGTGCCAGGACACCACAGACTGGATTGAGCTGAAGACGTCCCTTTTCTTTGGTTTTTTTGTTTGTTTTGAGTTCATACAATCATTAAGAAATCTTTGGTTTTGGCTGGAAATTTAAAAAACAAAACAAAACAAAGAAACCACCCTTCCCTGGCTTATAGCAGCAGTATTATGACCTGGCTAGGCTTCTGTTCAACTTTAAGGGTGGGAGTTGAAGGTTGAGAACTACATTCAAAGAAAAGGTGAAAGGGCAGGGGATGCAGCTTCTAGAGAGCCCATTGGATACAAGATTGTCAAATAATAATAATAATAATAATAATAATAATAATAATAAACTTAAA